ATTCAGACTTTGTTGGAGAAAAAAAAATGCACAACTGGAATATCAATCAGGTGTATTGGGGCCCTTTAAAATGTTAATGTTCTCTTAGCTACGGCCAGCTAACATGCAACGTAATCTTTTTCTGCACATTCAAATATTGTTTTTGTTAAAGAGTTTATTTTATATTTTTATAACTTTTATCTAATTCACATATCTGTATGCATAAAACATATTTTAAATGCTCCCTATGTTGATACGTGAAATACGAATGAGACGAAATAAGAAGCTTTTAAGAGCAGGTGTTTACGCCAATAATTGCGTGTCTTCTGGTCAAAAACTGTTTTAATAAAAAGAAAAACAATCAAGCATTAAAAGCAGTTATCAGAATTAGAAGGTGGAGATGTGCTATGAATGAGTGCAGAGACACATTGGCTATGAATACTATCAGATAGACATTACAGGACTAAAAAACAATATTAGAAGGAAAGATGCCTAATATTACAAAAAAGCAGAAGTTACAGCTAGAGAGAGGAAAAATGTTAGCGCCTCGTACTCCAATGGCCATTGATGTATGATGGTGATGAAGTTATCTAACTATTATTGTATTGTTATTATTGTTTATTTGTTTATTTATTTTACCCTCTATATTTGTTTTTTCTTTATGAGTATTATGATGTCAGGCATTTTTATATTATCGTTTGTTTTTATTCAGGCCTATATATTGTAATTTTAGAACACAAATCAAATTGTAATTTATTTTTATTTTTAGATATTCGTGCTAATTTATTTTCGTACTCTAAACCTTCATTAATTTGGTCATGATCTTAATTTTTATTCAATTGCTTACTGTGTTTAGTTTACTTTTATTTGAATGTCATCATTTTCACATACTTCACACCAATATAATACTTTCACGGTCCCTTCTGTCTTAAATGGGCGGAAAAATTCTGTGTATGCAATATATTGTCTGTTTTTAAATACTCTTAAGGACAGTTATAGGTAATGGTTTTTGTTTTATTTTTAAACATCTCTACCTCCCGTTGGTACCTATAATTATATTAACAGCTTATCTACCTCACTTTTGGTCTATTTTAAAATGAGTATAATTAAAAAGGAAAATACTAATGTCAAGTATGTTATGTATTTTTTAGATCAAACTAAAAGAAAAAATACAATGGGTACTAGGCTGTTTATTTTCTTAACCAAATCCAGCTATTTGTGATCAATCATATGTTGCAGATCAATAAATAAATCACAAAATTGACATACGAGTGCAATGCAGTTGTTTGTACCGTTGTTAGAGTCCAAACTGTTAATATGTTTTTTAAATTTCTTTACTAATTATGTATCCCTATTGATTAATAATTAATGAAGGCGTTCAGTTTGATGTCGCATACTTAATTTAGAGCGTTAAAGAATCTTAGTGTAATTAATATTTAGAAAACGTGTAATTTTCGCCCAATGAGTAATAATATACTTTCATTATATTGATGTTTCGCTGTTTCTCTTTCGACAAGCGGTAAAACGATTTTTAAAAAAAGTCAAACTATGTTTTATTATCATATGTGAATTTTAAAAATTAAAACATTTAAAACGGTTAATTTTTTCTTAATTTGGTTGTTCAATTACTCTTGTTGGGGCATCTCATATTTTAAACACAATCTGCATCATTTGCTAGCTCTTGTTGACGATGAAAATTTGATTAGCGATTTCTAAAATTAAAACTCAAAACTCAAAAGAAACATCTGGATTCGACGAGATTTATCATGATCTATTATTTTCTTCAAAATAGAATTTTGATTAATTATTATTTGACATATATTTAATATGTTTAATATGTTTAATATGTTTAAATTTTAAAAAAAAAACAACATTGAAACTTAACGTCCACGAGTTTACCACATGCAATGCTATTTATTAATTATATCACGATTTCAAATTCAAACTACTGTTATGGATTTCCAAGAAAGTATGTCGAATAAGTTAAAAAAAAACAACAAATAAAGCATCGGCCGTAACCAGAACCGTAGTCCTGTAACCCGCCGTCTCCCTATAACACTGTTTTTATACATGTATAAGAAGAATAAGAGTAGAATCATTATACAGAAACCGCTTTTTAATTACTAACTCAGACCTGGCGAACCGTGTGATATAACACATATTTTATTAAAGCATTCATAGTTGAAATATCATGATTAAACGAGAACGTGATTGTGGACATGAAGAAGTAACTGTAGACGTAGACGTAGACGTAGACGTAGACGTAGACGTAGACGTAGACGTAGACGTAGACGTAGACGTAGACGTAGACGTAGACGTAGACGTAGACGTAGACGTAGACGTAGACGTAGACGTAGACGTAGACGTAGACGTAGACGTAGACGTAGACGTAGACACAACAGCAAACGAAAATAAAAAAAATCAAACGGAAGCGCACATGAACACTCAAACGATTAATCAATATTTGCTTATGCGATGATACAGCACTAAGCAGCTTCAATCGATGAATTTTTTAAGTATCCATCTCAAAGCGGCTGTTTTACATACATTAGAGCAGGGGTCTCCAAACTACGGCCCGCGGGCCGGATGCGGCCCTCGAGGTCCTTTCATCCGGCACGCGGAGATCTTTTTGTCCACGGAAAAAAAACGTTTGATAGTGATGGCTGAAGAACTTTGCCCAGGAAAATCAAAGACATATTTGCTTATGCGATGATACAGCACTAAGCAGCTTCAATCGATGAATTTTTTAAGTATCCATCTCAAAGCGGCTGTTTTACATACATTAGAGCAGGGGTCTCCAAACTACGGCCCGCGGGCCGGATGCGGCCCTCGAGGTCCTTTCATCCGGCACGCGGAGATCTTTTTGTCCACGGAAAAAAAACGTTTGATAGTGATGGCTGAAGAACTTTGCCCAGGAAAATCAAAGACATGCCTGGAACTAACTGGCCCCCGAACTGAAATTTTATAGTTAATGTGGCCCTCGGACTGAAAAGTTTGGAGACCCCTGCATTAGAGTAATAGATACATTAAACGCAGCGTAGTTTATTAAATCAGATATGTGTATACATTTTCAACACGTTTGCAGCTGAATAAATGTTATCTATTCATGCTAATAAAATGTTCTAGTCATTCTTTGTTTCCTCGGTATTTTCAGTGTCCGTAGTGAAAAAACTTTTATTAATATAAAGTCATTTCGAAACATGATCTTGTCTTTATAATTGTAATTCTTTTTAAAAACTCTTACAATCTTATAATTGAGGTTTTGTGGTAAAGCCTAACACATTATTGAACACAAATAAATTCATCCTTTTCACATAACCATTTATCAATCTGCTACATTTTTCTGCTAGACTAATATTCATAATTTTTCATCATATTATTTCATAACTTTAAGTCATGAGTTGAAACTGCTAAGGCTAGAGATGTAAATGAGAATTTCTTTGCATATATTTTCTTAGTTTTAAACCATTAACATATGCACTACCTTTACGATTGAGTTCTGTTAGATTAGTTAACTTGGCAAGCAGAGACGCTACATTAAGGCTAACAGAGTATTGATTATATATATACATATATATATATATATATATATATATATATATATATATATATATATATATATATATATATATATATATATATATATATATATATATATATATATATCCCCTAATCAATACGGTGCATATTTTAAAACTCGTCTAATTGAAGTTTCACCACTAGACGTCTGATTGTGTTTATGACTTGTGTTATTTATTTGAATTTCGAAATAAAATTCTCGACACTGAAAGTATTACATTTTAGTTTTAAAAATATTTTAAGGACTATTTTAATCAAAGTATATTTTATCAAAGAGAGTCGTGAATACTAGAAATGTCTTAATTAGCAATTTTCGGATGTATAATTACAGTTCTTGAAAAGATTGTTTGATATCGCAAGCCAACATCGAAGTCTGTTATTTTCTACAACGATTTTCTACTTACCATTTACGCTTCGTTAGTTTATTAAAAGTTACATTCTACCCCATATACGATAAAAAGAATGCGTCTACAAAAAATGATTCTTCAAAGGGATTTTCCACAATGACGTTTTCTGCTAAGAATTTTTTGTTTTAAAAAAAACTTTAACGCTGATTAAAAGAATTTCACCAAAAAATCAATTATTCTAAACGCTTTAATCTTCAAGAAAAATGTTACACAAGACACAAACATTAATGAAACAAGATAATGTGTATAATCATTAAAAATGTTTATTAATTATTTCATCTAATTAAATTCATGCTCATGTTTATTGTCAGTCGCTAAAGGAAAACATGTTTTAAAAGAAATAACTATTGTAAATTAAATAAAATGTACGTTTTTTTTTTTGTTATTGATTGATTTCTCTAATGTAGGTATAATTTTATTTTCCTTATTAGTAAACTACCAATATAACTTGAATGTAATAATTTGACTATTTTACATGACACAATATGGTAAAGAATCATCTTTAGAACTAGCGAACCATTGCACAGATGAAGTGCAGTTCATAAGTTTATTGACCTCGACATATGAAGGGAAGTTGTGGTCAGCACTTTGCCAAGCCGCCTTTACTATCCCTAACATGAGTTAAGTACCCAACGAACTCGAAACTTTCAGGTTTGAAGCCTAGCGCTCTATCGCTTAGGCCACGCCGTTCCCTTATCTTACAAAATACTTGAGTAAAGGTGACTTACGGGAAAGAAGTAATAAAATTTCATGGACGTAAGTCTCTCTGTTAATACAATCAATTTAGTTTTCTCATTTATCGCGTATGCCATAAGTTAAATTTATTAATTTTAATTTTAGGAAATTAATAACTCAAATTTTCTTTAATTTACCTTCTAGCATATAGATCACTCTTCAGTACACCCTTGCCACCTGATAATGAAAATGTTCTCCTAGAAACATTATTGCTTCAGTTCTGAATTTTCCAATAATTAGATCCTAGTTCTATATATTTCGCAAATATAATAAAGGAAAAACGACCTTTAATAAAAACAAATGGCGGACACGAACCCCACGGATCATGACGAGATGATGAAAAAACTTGTAGAAGAAACAAGAGAGTTCCTGGTACCGGATTTGCTGCTTCGAAATTTGATGCTTTCGCTTAGCGTGATCCTCCACGGGGTGATATCTCTAGCAGGCGTCTTGTCCAACAGCGTCAACGTGCTCGTCTTCATTAGACTTGGTCTCAAGGACAGCATGAGTGTTGGACTTTGGGCGTTGTCGTTTACAGATCTTGTGGTGACGGCGTGTCAGCTAGCAGCTTGTGTGTGCTACCTTATCGCTTACGTGTACCCAAACACTCCCATTAGCCCTTGGTCTATTGGCAGTTTTGTGTTAGGCTCAGTAAGGTATGTAGGTTATTTCATATCATGCTGGATAACTACAATCATTGCTTTAGAAAGGTGTTACTGTGTTGTAGCACCTTTTCGTGTGAAGCTTGTGTTTACAAAATCAAGATGTGTTGCATCCATCACGTTTATCTACATTATTCACGTTGGGATTGTTATACCGTTATTTATTTATGATCCAATGGAGTGGGTTCTATACACCACAGGAGAAAAAGATGCAAACAGCAGCCTCATTTATTTCATGCAGTTTCAATGGACGTATACCCAGCTTGGCGCTCAATGGGACACTATCGTTAATATTGTAGAAGGAGTTGTACTTTCTTGTATCTCTCAAGTTCTCATACTCTTCTGTACTTTCTGGATGGTTTTCTCTCTAAAGACATCCTCAAAAATACGAAATCAATCAGCACTTAAAGAAATGGGAGATAATCATGAAAAGTCAGACAATCTTTCATCACGGGAAAGACGTCTTGTTAAAGTTGTAATTCTATTGGCTATCATACAGACTGTTTGCAGCGTGCCGAGGTTTATGGTCACAGCCGTGTATCACATATTTCCAGGCTGTGATCTTGGCGCTTACGACAATTTGATGACTCTAATTTGGGAAATGTCGTATATTTTCAGCACTATTTGTTGTACGAGCAATATTTTTGTGTACCTGAAGCTTAACGCTAATTTTAGACAACAATGTAAGTCAGTTTGTCGCATACATATTTGTTTTAGAAAGTTTTAACCCTAGCTAGCTATTTTTGTCAGTTCAGAAAAAAATATTAAGGTGTTTGAGAGTTATTTTTCCCTGATTTCTCATCAGCTGAGCGTTGAACATATTTTGTACCACATTATGATACAAAATATTGGGATTATTGCATTAATAATAGTTGTTTATATATATATATATATATATATATATATATATATATATATATATATATATATATATGTATATATATATATATATATATATATATATATATATATATATATATATATATATATATATATATATATATATATATATATATATATATATATATGATTCTAACATATTTTTATCGTCACAATAATTCAAAATCTGAACTGTTAGCAAACATTATGACACATACATATTATATAGATGTATTGGTCACACAGGTAAAATGAGCGGGATTGTTACCCAAAGATAGTGTTGTGTGTATTCTTGGATCCTAAGTGACAACACCAGACATCTATACTTATAAGTTCGGTCCAAGACGCAGCACTGTCAATGGTAGTGATCCGAAGCTTATCCAAATGAGAACCAACTTACGACATCGGCCAACACGTCTTAATCTTCTTTTTTACTTTCTCGTATATACGAAGTATAGAGAAAGTCTGATAATCGTGCAAAAAAAAATCGAGATTTTTGCAAATCTCGACGTTTTAAGGCTCCTTGAGTCGGAAAAGCATAGTTTTGCAATCTTGTCCGTATGTCTGTGTGTATGTGTGTCAGTGTGTCTGTGTGTATGTGTGTGTGTGTGTGTGTAAACACGACAACTTAAGTACCGTTACAGCTATGTTGATGAAATTTCATATACAAGTATTATATCCAAATCGTATATCCGTATCAACTTTTGAGCGATTTCCGATAACCGGAATTTTTTTCTACTTTGAATTTTTCAAAAGCCTATTATTTGATTACTATTTCAGATAGATAAATGAAATTGCACATGTAAGTAAAAGATCTAATTTTCTACCCTCTATCAAATCTTGAGTAATTTCCATCGACCGGAAAGAGTAATTTACGCCATTTCCGATTTCTCAAAAAAAAAAACGCATGTGAATTTATAAAACACTAATAATATTCCCCACTATTATGCACATTTTGTTTTGGCTTTCACTTGGTGTGCAATTTTTTTTTACGAGATTATATTCTATTATAAAATCTTTAAGTTTTAAAAATGGATTACAGATATTATCTGTGTCCTGAGTTGCCATCCCCCGTAGTTTTATTTTAGAATATTCGAGAAAGATTAGGGGAGATCATTCCCGGTTTATTTATTTTTTGAAGTTAAAATGGAATAGAAATTCCATTTATGTAAATATTTGGGAACAATTCATGTCTTTGTTTTCATACAATTACTTTTGCGCTCCAAAATTGGTTTTCTTTTATTGCAATGAAAGTAATACTTTTAGTTTACACTCACTTAATGTTAATTAAAATTAATAGTAAATTACATACGTTTTTGCACCACAATTTAACGATTCCGAATAAATGTGCATTAATGATTTAAAAATTACTGATTTTAAAAATCTAGAAAGTTTAATCAATTAAAAGAAAAACACGTTATACATTAATTATGTTTATGTTTATTTTAAAACAATAGGAATTAAAGTACAATCAGCATATCCAAGGATCATAGAAACCAACACCTTATCAATATATATAAAAAGCGCGATTTGTTTTTCTCTATATACGGTTTATAAAAATAAAAGTCTATTTTGATTTCACACTGTTCATCCGATAGCCATGAGACTTTGGGGAGTTCATTATACCACTCTAGGGAAGGGTTCTGTAAAAAAATAATTTTTAATTTCGCAAGGGCGGCGCCAGGGGAGGGTCCGATTTTTCTCTATTTACGGTATATAAAAATAATAAAAGTGAATTGCAGTGACACCGTTTATCCGATAGGCATGAGACTTTGTGGAGTTCATTATAAAACACTAGGGAAGGGTTCTGTAAAAAAATCATTTTTAATTTCGCAAGGGCGGCGCCACGGGAGGGTGCGATTTTTCTCTATATACGGTTTATAAAAATAAGTCGATTTTGGTGTGACACCGTTATCCGATAGCCATGATACTTTGGGGGAGTTGATTAGAACAATTCAGGGAAGGGTTCTGTAAAAGAACACCTTTGTTAATTTCGCAAGGGCGGCGCCACGGGCGGCTGCGATTTTTCTCTATATACGGTTTATAAAATTTCGTTTTCACAACGTTCATCCGTGTACCATGAAACTTTGGGGAGATGATTAGATCACTCAATGGTAGGAATCTGCAAAAAAAAAATTAATATTGCAAGGGCGGCGCCCCAGGGGAGAGCGATTTTTTCTCTATACACGGTATATAAAACAAGTTAATTAAAAAGTCTAGTGACAATTTTAGCGCAATTTCCTTATGTTATCTAAAAATAGCTCTGTCGTAGCGTAAATCAAGAGCAGGGTTAGTAAAACCATTGGTTAGTTATTAAAACGTTTTTTATTTAAAAAAAATGTCAGTATTTTACATGTTTTATTTACAATAGAGTTACATGACTAAAAACCATTGCGCGCCTAGCTACTGAACGTGATGACGAAGCCATAGAACGTGATGGTGCAGCTATTGAACGTGATGACGCGTGTGGTGTGGTTGGAAAAAATGCCTACTAATTCGGTCCAAATTTTAATTAATTCAAAACAATTTTTGTGACGGAACGAAAGGATATTTTTGAAAACTTTCTTCGGCAATATTGTTCTAAATTATGGCAGGAATCGATTGGTACATGTTTCAAGTCGCTAAGTGGTCTGGTTGCCGAGATATGGGCCAAAAACTGCTTTTTTTCGAGGTTTTTTGGCTTTTCCGGGATATCCATGAAAGAAACCCGGAATATTTTTGGCCTATGTTCATCCTGATAACTTGCTTAACATATTTGCTTTTGAAACTAGTCCTCGATATTGCTTCGTTGAGAAGATACGACTTAAAGCTGCGGACACACATCCATCCATCCATCCATCCATTCATACATTCATACATTCATACATCCAGAAATGACGGGTTAATAAACGCAATTCTCCAGAATGGAAATTGCGCTAAAAAAACTCGGATGCGATTTATCCGAGTGCCATGAAACTTTAAGGAGTAGATGAGAATACTCCTGAGAATATTTCTGCGAAAAAGAAAACTAAAGTTTCTTATGGGCGGCGCCATGTAGGGTACAATTTTCGTCAATACATGGTTTGGCGCCCAAAGTTTTAGAGCGACTATGTTGGCACTTGGCATCCGTTAATCGAGCGTCCTGCATAGCGAGTAAGGGGTACTACTATATTCAGCGGTAAAGCTACAACAGGCTTCTAAAAATAACTTTGTAACGCGAGGAAATCCTTCTGTACAGTTTCGTCATCTTGCGAAAGATGAAAAAATAACTTTTTGAATATGTGGAGCCTACTGTAGAGTTTCGTCACTTTGCGAATGATGCAATAAGCATCTATTATTAGACGATCCAGTCAGAAATTAAGATCGAGCATCTAATAATAGACCATTAATAACGCTACCATATTGCATCAGTCACACTGATGTTTAAAACACATCAAATAGTTTTTACGTGTTAAAGAAAAAAAATCCTGTTCATTTGTGTCACTTCAGCGAATGACGAAATCTGCATCGTTGTTTACAGGATGCTATTTGGTACTCTGGGTTATCCTATGAGCACGATGGCGCCTGTTAGTTTTAAGGAGCCAGGGGTCGTACGCTGCGCCTATGCGATACTGTAATCGGGGGGAGGGGGGCTCCTGAGAGCGCCCCTCTACGTCCCTGACACATGGGTGGTCACCGAAGTGTGTTCTGATTAATGTACACATAAGGTTTTCACGCGGTAGTGTAGGTAAACCCGTGTCCCGATATTTATGATCCAAGCGCAGGCATTGTTTACATTTAAATAAATAACTTTTAGAAAATAAGGTCACGAGTCTAAGAATATAGGATTGGTAACGCATGGATGAATCCCTTCTTATATATTTCGTCGGACTATCTTCTATTCCCGCGGCAACGCGCGGGGACGGGTACGCTAGTATCTCTATAAAAAGTGTTCTATAAATACGAAATTCAATTCCTTTTAAAAATTTACTTTTTGTGGAAAGAGAAAAATTCTCGTTTAATTAATTTCTTAACAAACACAATTTTATAATTTGTTTTTTTTTTAAAGAAAGCAAAAAAAAAGTATTTTTGCTATATACAACAAACATTTATTTACGCAATGATAAAAATCTGTACAGTATACACAATCATAGGTTATATAGGTAAAAAGATCATAAGCGTGTGTATATTTTAGGTTTCTGTAAAAATAGTTAAGGTGTTCTAGTGATTTCAATTTTTAAAAGTTCGTCAGAATGCGAATTTGAGAAATTGTGAAAATAAGTTATGGTAATGGGCACAGTAATAAACACTTTAATGCACTAAAATAGCAAACTAAATTCCATAAGTCGCTAAAATGGATGGGCTAATGCATTTACCGGAAAAAAAAATTAAGTTATTGTCATATATTATTTTCAGTGCATTAAAATGCTTATTTTTATTTTCTGATTTTTTTTTCACTTTTTTTCTTCTCGATGTTGTGTATTTAGACATTGAAATAATACAAGAGTTATTCTAAATGAATGATTTAAAAACAATTAATACTATTCCTAATTTACATTTTGAATTCATTTAAATTTAACTAAGCCTACGACTATAACATATTTCCACACGACAAAAATTCTAAACGACAATAATCTTCCATTTAGTCGAGAACAAAATGATTATAAACAATCAAAGATAAGATACAGACCTCCATTAACAAATGACAAAGTAAGCTTTTAAAATGTAGATATCAGAAAAAAAATTCATAGCGTACGAAGTAGGAATTAGCGCTGGGTGGTTAAGCTCTGAACGAGGCTAACTTAAATGTAACATGGCCAGGCACTTGGGTGGAACCCACAGGGAAGGCTGAAGAGAGGGTGCATATCGCAGACCTGGAAATAGGGTCATCTTAAAGAACAGCAGGGATCTCTTGAATTTCACAGCAGTGGATCGGAAAATGTGGAAGGTTGAGGTTGAAACCCTATGATCCACAAGCA